GCACGGCCAGCATGGCTACAACGGTCCATATCGACTTCTCGAAACACAGCGGCACCACTTCTTCGCCCTTGACACCGAGCTGCACCAGGTAGCCCGCCAACTGGCTTGACAGCGCGTCCAGCTCGCTGTACGTCATCTCGCCGTCCCACGCACAGATAGCAGGCGCATCGGGCTGTGCTTTTACCTTCTCGGCAAACAGGTCGTGCACACATCGTTCGACTGTGGGTGGTACGTCTTGGTTCCACGCCCACAGCTGCTGGCGGTCTGCTGGCGTGATAGTGTCGATTTCTGCCACCTTACTATCTGCGCTCGCCTCGGCTAGCTGCAGCATAACAAAGCTGAACTGGGCAAGCATCTTCTCTACTATCCACTGCTCGATGACGCGTCTATCGAAGCTCGCCATGATCTGTACTCCCTCTGCCGCTAGCGTGCACTGCACCATCAGCGCGTATGTTGTAAAGTCCTGTAACTCTGAGCGGCTGCGCCACTCTCCAAGCGTGTCATCACTACTAGGCACATTATCTGCGGGCTGCACGACGAACAGCGTCTGGAAGCCGCAGGCATGTTGGGGGCCTGGCCCCATCTTGGCGATGCGCTGCAGGCCTGTCTGTTCGTGTGCGATCATCTCTGTAGCCTGTTGCTGCAAGCCTTGTAGAAAGGAGGACACAGTCTGATGATCCTGTACGCGCACTCGCACCGGCACAGTTGCAATAGTTGGTCCAACTATTGTATCGATATCAACAACGGGCGTGTTGCGTCCTGTGACGGTGGTGCCAAACACTACATCGTCTGAGCTTGTGTAGCGACTAGCAACAATCGCCCACGCTGCGCGGATAAGCGTTGACGTCGTTATGTCAGTGGCTGACTGTAAGAATGGCGGACACTGGTACTCGACTGTTGTTTCTGCGGCAGGCTGCGCAACCATCGACGGCAGCGGCGGAAATAGGACCGCCTCGCAGCCAGCAAGGGCCGTCTGCCAGTACGACGTGGCCACCTCCTGGTCTTGCTGGTTGAGGTACTGGATGAAAGTATTGAAGCTGGGTTGTTTTTCCAGTGCGGCACCGCTGTAGACCTGCTGGACTGCGTGCAGGATCCGAGGTAGGGACCAGCCGTCGTATAGCGCATGATGAATCGTCCATACAAACCAGCGCCTCCCGCTGTAGTGTTCCTTAACGAGTGCGTAGCGTACAAGCGGGTCGCCCAGCCCCATCGAGGCTGCCTTGTCCTCCTTAAGATACTCTTCTAGACCCTTAACCTCGATCCACTGGATGTCTTCTGCCACAACAACCTGCAGCAGGCCAAGTTCGCTGTGTTGCACGATGCGCGTGCGCAAGGCGGCTGTTGACCACGCTACTTGTTGCCAGGCAGCTCGGAAGGTATCCTCGTCTATGTCGGCCTGCAGCTCTAACACGCTCTGCATGATATAGTCACCTGCTCGCTTAGCCGTCAATGACATTAGGCCTTCTTGCAAGGGCGAGCAAGGGTAGACGTCCTCGATGACGCTCGCGTCGACGCTGCATACAGCAGCTACATCCTCGCAAACTTGCACAGAATCTACATCTTCACCTAGTAGAGAAAAGGCAGGCACCTCTTCTGCCACGGTGCTACACTGCTGAGTATCCTGGTTGGCCAAGGCTGCGAGGTTAGGATGGCGGAAGATATCTGCGACAGAAAGCTGCAGGCCCGTCTTGCGAGCCTCACTCACCAGCTTCATAGCCGCAATCGAGTCGCCGCCTAGACGGAAGAAGCTGTCGTCTAGCCCAATGCTGTTCGGCTCGATGCTGAGCACGCGCGCCCATAGCTGCTGCATCATCCGCTCGGCCTCTGTTGATGGCTGCCGCTTTGGCCCCTGGCTAGACGTCCGCATCTCTGCCAGCTGCTGGGCCGTGAAAGAGGCTCCGATCTTTCGAAGTTGCTTGCGGTCTGTCTTGCCGGACGTTGTCATAGGAAACTGAGAAAGCGCAAAGAATACAGTCGGCACCATGTGCCTAGGCAGTCGCTCTGCTAGCTCTGCTTCTACCTCTGCTAGGAACAGTACACGCGCCATCGAGTTGGTCTTGACGCCTCTATCTATAAATAGTGCATTGTTAGTATCGTTGTTGATCTGTACAAAGGCTGCTAGCATCGCATGGCCTCCCTCTCCTGGTACAATCACCTCAACTGCCAACTGCTTGGCTTCCGATAGGCACTCTCGCACATAGTGCTCGACCTCGCCAAGCTCAACTCGCTGGCCACGGACTTTTACCTGGCTATCCTTGCGGCCTAGGCAGACCAGGTTGCCATCGCTGTCGTATTGAACTAGGTCACCTGTCTTATATAGCCTTCCACGTCGCCCACCATAGCCTCTGCAGCCTTCTAGCAGCCAGGCAGGATCGTTAACAAAGGCGGCTGATGTCTTCTCTGCGTCGTTGAGATAGCTGCGCGCTAGGATCGGCCCTTCTACTAGTAGCTCTCCAACTGACCCTAACGGCGCAAGCCTGTTATAGTTCTCAGGGTCCACCACCCAGCTTACTGAAGCAACCGACGTCCCGATGATGCCTGACTTAAACCCTTGTTTACTATCGTATACATTGCAGCAGATAGTGCACTCTGTTGGTCCGTATGCGTTCATTATCCGAACACTGCCTGACCACCTATCCCAGTCTGCAAAGCTGACCTGCTCTCCTTGAATAACTAGTATCCTAAGGGTAGGGACGGTACTAGGGTCTAGCAGCCGTGCTATAGATGGAGTCAGAAGTGCACAGTTGACATCCATAGCGTTGATAGTATTAGCTAGGTTGTTGCGCCGGTCGCTGTCGGACGGCACACAGACGCATCCACCGTACATAAGCGTAGTGATGATCTCGGCAATGCAAGCATCAAAAGCGTATGACGCAAATTGAAGAACGCGCGCGTGTTCTGTAATCCCG